AAGTTAATATTTTTTGTATTAGAAACAACGAGTGGAAAATATATTCAAATCAGAATTCTATTTATGAATCACAACAAGCAAAATATGCAATTTTTTTTACTGTATTCAATAAGTAAAAATCATAAATTGTAAAACTAGAAGATTACAGAAAGGCTACCTACATTTTTCAACCGATTTCAACAAAACTTCACATTTTTTGGCAGGTAGTGTTTCTTATTGTCTTGCACATTTTTTTCTTTATTTTTACATTCAGAATGCTTTAAAAATTCCATTTACAAGACATTTGTTTATAATAAAATTCTATTCATTAATCGATAGACTCATAACGATTGTAAACAATGTTTTTATTTGAGTTTGGGTTTGACCAATTTGTAAAAAAAAAAAAAAATAAAAAAAAAAAATAATTAAGACATGCGTGTCCGTCAACCTTAAACAATAATCTTTGTCAATTTTATTTTTCAGTCTTTATGATGGTCGATACTTGATCTATCTCTTACTGTTACATCCCCGGGTAATGCCGGGTTCTAGTGCTAGTATGTAATAATGTCTTGCTTTTGCAGACACTTCTGCCTATATTGGGCCAAAAGAGATTTGCATGAAAGAAGCCCATGTGATCAAAAATTATTGTAAATATATAAATAATGCTGCAATTAAATAATACATTTATTTACTAGTTATGGGTATTATTGATTATTGCTTTAACAGAAACAGATAAAATATCTCTATAAGAAATGCGCAATAACTACTTATCTATCTCAGAATAAATAAGTGATCTCAAATTATCTGAAGTATAAAAAAATATATTTTTCCTAAATTAAATGGAATTCGTTAGAATGTTTGTAAAATGCCCAGGAAATGTGAGCAAACATTGGGAGTCTTGCATTAAAGAAGATGATACCAGGAGGCTACAGTTTGAGAGAGAGAGAGAAAAAAAAAGCCAACAATAGCTCTGAGCTAAGCCGTACTCGACCGGCTTCTTCATTCACTAAAGTCTTATTGATGTACTTCCTTTTGAAATGTCATCTTGATGCGTGTCAGTGGGGCAACGTCTTTATGATTGGGAATCATGGTGCTGACCGCTAAATGAAGCGAAGACTGTCATGCCATTCGAATGAAAGTAGCTCACATATGGCCTTTCGTATATGCGTTGAAGACAGGAAAACGAAGCACACTGCATGAAATACGCAATTATATTATGTACACAAAATACACATATGAAGAGAGAATAAAAAGTATGTTGACATCTTCAATTAGTAGACACTCAATTCTATTATCCATTTCTCCGTCGCTATTTCTTCCCCCTGCAATGACTTTTTCACATTCTATCATTCTATTTGAGGGTGGTAAAAGTTCTCAGTTTGATCTACTTCTAAAAGAACAATGTTTCCATGAGGAAAAAGAAGTATATCTATCTATCTATCTATCTATCTATCTATCTATCTATCTATCTATCTATCTATCTATCTATGTAAATAATAATGGATAAACACAGAGATAGAAACAAAGACACAAAAAATGAGGTATAAATTTGCATGACAGGAAATGCATTAAACATCCTTCTAACTGAATAGGTATATCATCGTAGAATTGGATAAATATATCTGGTTATATACATATATATATATATATATATATATATATATATATATATATATATATATATATATATATATATATATATATATATATATATATATATATATATGTATGTGTGTTTGTGTGTGTGTGTGGTGTATACGCGCGCGTGTGTTTTGTGTATATATATTAAAATAATAAAGTTAATACACACACACATACATATATATATATATATATATATATATATATATATATATATATATATATATACACACACACGCGTGGAGTCATGGGGATGCTAATTGCCAATATGACATCACATACTGCAATCTGTCATAAAATGTATCGAATAGCCAGCGAAATCACACGATATTTCCAAAGCCAGCATATAGAAAGTCAAACTGAAGCAGGAGGACTGCCATTACGTCAATATGGGAAAATCTGAGAAAATCTTGCAGGTCTCAAGTCTATTTGAGCTATATATATTTGTGTTATGAGGTCTTAACCATAATAATAAAAATGGACTATTCCATACTTAATAAATACTGCGCCTCAGGATTAGGCGAGGAGTCAGGAGTCAGTCGTTCACTTTCTGAGCGACTGCACGGTTAAACTCTCTTCCTACGGGCGGGAGGAACCCGAAGGAGGCTACGCCGAAGGGCGGAGTCTCCTTCGGGGAGGTAAAACCGGCCCTGAACCCGTTTATACGGGTTCTAATGGGCTATTTTTTGGCCGAGCCTAATGGCTCGGGAATGCCCACGTTAAAAAGGCCTTGTGCCACATGACACCCTCGTGGGGGGGTGACTGAATATTGTCAGGAGTCAGTCGTTCACCTCTGAACTGACTGCACGGTTGTACTCTCTTCCTACGGGCGAGAGGAACCCGAAGGAGGCTACGCCGAAGGGCGGAGTCTCCTTCGGGGAGGTTAAACCGGCCCAGATCCCGTTTATGCGGGTTCAAATGGGCTATTTTTTGGCCGGGCCTAATGGCTCGGGAATGCCCACGTTAAAAAGGCCTTGTGCCACATGACACCCTCGTGGGGGGGTGACTGAATATTGTCAGGAGTCAGTAGTTCATGTCGTCAAGAGTCGTCGTGTCAGAGGCAGTCCGAAACGAGTCGCGTTCAGACAATTACTGCAAGACATTGGAATAGTGATACTGGTCGAGACTACATTGTTCTCTCTACTAAACCTGGTTGTTCATACTAACACTTTCTACTTCTCTGTATATATTCCTGTTTGTAATATATCTGTGTTATTCCATACCTGTGTTCGAGTTCTTCTTTATTGATTCTACCTTGGACTATCACGGTTGTACAAGCAACCGGTAAATAACAATTTGAATGTTAATACTCGTTTTGAAAAACCTTGCTTAGCTCAACTTGTAATATAACAAATTGATGACCTAGGAAAAAATTGAAAATAAAAAAGAAAGAACGAAAACATAACAATGTACGAATCATCTCGTCAAGTGCCTCAGCTCCAAGTCCAAAGAAAAAGAAAAAGGATGTGTAAAAGACTAAACGTAAAGTGTTCAATGCACTAAGTAGAGCAACATCTAAAATAATCCTAAGGAATCTAGCAAACCTACATAGTTTTTACCTAAATATATAAATAAATTTATATAAATACAATTAGCCATGAAAAAAGTATAATTTAATTGTTAAATATAAGTTTCAAATATTAAATCTAAAGTGAATTAAAAAAATTATAATTGAAATAAAATATTAAAAGAAATAAAATTAAAAAAAAATAAAAATTTAGGAATACAAAATAATTAAAGGAATATTAGATATATTAAGGGATGAAATAAAAAAACAAAGAAATAACAATAACAACAACAAATAGATTTAATAATTGTTGGCGATGTAATATACTGTTTTTCACTTTTATAGTTGGTAATATTGCTATTATTAGACTCTCAAAGTATTTTCTCCGTAACGAATAACATTCTTCTTTTAAAATTAGGGTGGCATTACATCGATACTAAGATAATCTACCATGTGTCTATCTAAAGTCTCTGAGATATGAAAAATAATAAGAGTAAAAAATGATAAAATGCTACGTTGATAAACGTTTACTGTTTTTGATTTTTCTTTTTCACTTGGATTCTGTTTACTATTTGATATCAAAACACACAAGCACAAACAAACAATATACATATTAATTTATTTTCTTTAAACGCTATTTTTTATGAATATTCATATTCGAGTAAAAGCTGTGTCTTTTAAACCCTATTTTTTATCTAATTACATCTACAGGACTAAATATTCAAGAAATATTTTCATATGACAAAACATCTACTCGAATATGAGTATCCACTAAAAATAACGTTTAAAGAAAATAAATTAAAAATAAAAATTGGTCAGATTTAATCCATTACCTAAATATAAATTGTCTTTGTTTACGTTAGGATACGAAACAGAGCAGATATGTATATTTCGAGAACCGACCTAATGAATGTTAAATTGCACCATGAGGGGTTCATTTTGGCCAGACACGTCGAATACAGTGGCGGTTCCTGATAGGAGAAGCACGTTCGAAACTAGCCTCAGGCTGTATAGCTTCTTTTTTTTCATTGACAAGATTTCTCAAATATTCATGCCGATATATGCAGTTGGATTAAAAAAATGCTGTTTAATTAGAAAAAAACAGAGATTCTACACGAATATGAGAACCCATCAAAAATAATATTAATCAAAATAAATTAGAAATAAAACATGTCAGATTTAAAGAATTTCATATATATATATATATATATATATATATATATATATATATATATATATATATATGTATATACATATATATCATTTCACCCGATGCAAAGCAATAAATCCACTAAACCCAAAGCGTTACTGGGTATGAGAGGATATGTGATAAAACTCTATTATGCAGAGACAGAATAAAAGAAATCAGAAAATACATAAATATATATACATGTAGATATATATATACATCCGTATATATATATATATATATATATATATATATATATATATATATATATATATATATATATATATATATATCATATTCAGTTTGAATATAAACAGCAGGTAGACTATGTTTTTTTGAACAAATGTGCCTGAGCGAACGTCTGAAATAGGGATTGGCCAGCCGCCCTAATAGACGGATGTCGACGAATTCTAGTGTCCAGCTATATATATATATATACTAGAGTTCCTGGATATCCGTCTAATAAGGCGACTAGTCAATCCATATTACATACGCTCGCTTAGGCACATTTGTGTTTGTTCAAAATAAACACAGTCCACCTGCTGTTTATACTGCAACTATGCTGAGCAGACCTTAGTTGCAGTTTCTAGGAGATAGCGTCTTCTCTAGCGTGATCAAAATCTGAATATTGCCAGCACACTCAGACCCTCGGTCATGATGACTTGTGACTTCGGGCTAGCACAGCTATCGACGGCCCCATAGATAGATAGATAGATAGATAGATAGATAGATAGATAGATAGATAGATAGAATAACGAATATGCTGAGATAGATAGGTATATAATGAAGGTGCTGACATGCATAATAAACATGCAGAGATAGATAGATAGATAGATAGATAGATAGATAGATAGATAGATAGATAGATAGATAATGAATATGCTGAGATAGGTAGGTATATAAGGAACATACTGAGATAGTTGGATAATGAAGATGCTGAGATAGATAGATAGATAGATAGATAGATAGATAATGAATATGCTGAGATAGGTAGGTATATAAGGAACATACTGAGATAGTTGGATAATGAAGATGCTGAGATAGGTAGGTATATAGTGAACATGCTTAGATAGATAGATAGATAGATAGATAGATAGATAGATAGATAGATAGATAGATAATGAAGATGCTGAGATAGATAGGTATATAATGAAGGTGCTGACATGCATAATAAACATGCAGAGATAGATAGATAGATAGATAGATAGATAGATAGATAGATAGATAGATAGATAGATAGATAGATAGATATAGGGGAAGAGAGAGAGGACTTTGTGTGACTCAGTGAATGAGGGAAGGAAGGTATGAATGAGTTGTGAGGCGTGAAGAAGTTGCCAGAATGTTCGTTTTCCGACCATGAAACTTCCTTTTGAATCTGACTAGGGTCTATTTGTTATGTACGTATGTATCGTCTTGATGTTAACCGTCCAAGGGAGAGATTTTGAGTTTCGGCATAGAGCTTGAAAAGGGTGCCACAGGTTCATCAAAAACTTATTGGTGGATGGGCTGTCACATAATTATCGTTAGAGATGTGAACGTAATGGTCTTTTTCAAATTCGATTAAGGCAAATTATTACCTCTTTTATAACAAAAGTCTGCTGGACGCAGTCGTTCTGCGCATGTCAAACAGACACAAATCACACTGAGCAGGTTTTGAAAAATCGGTTTGCTGGCAAATGTATAAATGGCAATTATATGAATATGTACAGATAGATGCATTTGTATACTATTTTGAAAATGCAAAGTTTTGTAACCTCCACCACCACATCATCAGTGATTTTGATCAAGAGCAGCAATAACACAGTAATGCAGACGCATATATCGATGGTAGATGCAGAGAAATCTATCTGTTTGAAAAACTACCAATGCAATCATATCTAACTATTTGTATGCCTTTGTTTCTATCTCAGTGTTTATCCATTGTTATTTACTATATATATATATATATATATATATATATATATATATATATATATATATATATATATATATATAGATAGATAGATAGATAGATAGATCGGAATAAACTGACAAATATAGATATATAATAGCATGAAATAGTATTTTTTAAATGGATACATAGATAGATAGATAGTTAGATAGAAAGATAGATAGATAACATGAATTATTAATTTCCTGAAAAAGATAGATAAACAGCATGAAATAGTAATTTCTGAAATATATATACATATATATATATATATATATATATATATATATATATATATATATATATATATATATATATATATATAGATAGATAGATAGATGTATGTATCTGTTTGCATAACTGGCAATAAACGGTATATCTACCTCTGTTGTTTTTTCTCTGTTATATATATATATATATATATATATATATTGTCCGGACAAAGAGATACTTAGTTAATATACATGTCGGAAAGCTACCAACTCAGTTCAAATTACTGTCTATAATTTCACATTTTTTTTACGAAGGCTTCTTATTAAATTTCACTTTCAAATCTACCAGTAATAAAGAATAAAAAATAGAATAAATAATGTTAATTCATAATTTTTCATGCGCATCAAATAAGAAGCGAAAATAAAATTTACTTTGAAATACGCAACAAATCAGAAATAGTTTCTTTTTAAGTTTTCTTCGCGGTGTAAAAATATTCTAAACAAGCGCTTTGCAAAATAATTGAATCGATGTTTGAATTTAGATTTTAACCTCGGCTTGAAGCCAACTTTTTGCGTCAGTGGATTAATAACGCCGTTTGGTTGATCATTGCAATTTTTGTCGTAATTATTTCTTTTTTCAGTAATTCGGATGATGCAAAGAGATTCAAACTGTAGCATTTGAGATTAATTACACTCGACTGCATCATGTTTTGCAAATTCCGTCTGAAATTATCTATATTAAATTGGCAAATATTTTATGCAGCTTAAATATATCTTCACTTTTTTTTCTGTATAGAACACTGTTCTTATTTGTGTTTTTTTTGTGTGATTTACGTTAGCCTGGTTTTACGCGTATTTGAATTTGCTTCTCTATACAGTGTGATGCAGAAGTAGGTATACGGTAATGAAAAAAAAACCGTACTCACAAAGCGTATTGTAATGATTATAGAAACGCCAATCGTATATCAAGTCAGTGTATACCTACATTTGCAACCATGAGTTGGTCGTAGAAGAGTTTTGTATCCTGTATCATCATGTATGGCATCATCATGTATGGCATCATCATGTATGGCATCATCATCATCATCATCATCATCATCAGCAGCAGCAGCAGCTGTCCCTTCACTGCTTCAATCGATGGTGTTGGGTGACCTAAGGGCAGAAAAACAGACAGCCTCCTCCTGGATGATCTTTTGTCGTGGGCTCTCACGAGTCCCGGCATTGTCATGTCCGTCTGCTTGGTGATGTGCTCTGACAAGCTTTTGCGTTGCTATTACCCTGTGTCTGCTTTCAACATAGCCCTGCACGATGGACTTGCAGAGGCAGTTATATCTTGTGACGTGGCCAAACCATAACCTCTTCCGACGCCTAATACTCGCAAGGAAAGATTCCTGTCGGTCCGCGAGAATTTTCACCTTATTCCGTACACTCATTTCTTTTGTATTCCCAGTAGTAAATGCGGAGGAGATTTTCTCAAGATTTCTCAAATTACTGTCACAAACAAACTCTACCAAATAAACGTACAGAACAGTCTCAAGAAATAAAAAGAAAATGGTTGAATCCGTCAATACAGCAATAAAAACAATATCTCCACACTTGACAGCAACTGACTTAATTTCAGTTAACAGTATGAAAATAGCATTCTCTAAATTCTTCCTGTTGCTAAAGACATTTTGTTTTGCTATTATTAGTTATTTTGTCTAATAAATTCATTTCATTTTGCCTTGAAACGCGTCGGCAACCATTACAATTTTCGTATTTTCGTACAATTTTCGTATTTTACATTTATAAATATTGTCTTTTTCAACAGGTTAACTCTAAGAAATTTTTCATATATATATATATATATATATATATATATATATATATATATATATATATATGTGTGTGTGTGTGTATGTATGTATGTGTGTGTGTGTTTGTGTGTGTGTGTGTTTTTTTTTGTTTGTATTTGTCATAATGATAATATTGCTTTTTTCCTCATGAGGAAACTTTGTGTATTCATCGACTTAGCAGACAATATTGTCGGGTAAAATTAATAAAATATTTCTCATGGATTTTTTCAGGAAATAGGGTTTTTAAATCTGATATGTCCCGGAAAGGGATATATTTGTTCGAAGTAGCAATGTGGCTGTTAACGACTGTAACCGGGTAGGACAATCTAGCAGTTAACCGTAATGGACTGGTCCTCGTCGTAGAGGTAGGCAAAAGGCGTAGGCAATAGGGGAAGAGAATAAGCGTAGTCCCTGTACCTCCACATCAGTCTGAATTTATGGCTGACACCAGCTAATCTTATTACTATGAGTGGGAACCCAGGTATATGCATATTCATTACATCAAAATCCAATGTGTCTTTTTTTTTATTCCAGGATTTATTGACGTTTTCTCCGTAGACTTTCGTTCGAATTCCTGCGGAATGTCAAAATCTTAATTATGCCATTATTGTGTCTTTGAGTCACTGGTGATACCCATTTTAGCCGTTGCAGCTCTTAAACACCCTCAAGCGATGTTGTCCTGTTATTTGGTACAGGCGTTAATGTTTGATTCCGTAGCTCTCTCAAAGTCAATTTTTAACCATTGATCATAGAAAGTGTCTTTAAATTTTAGTTATTTTTCTATATGTATGTGTAATGTTGCACCATATTCTATCAATTTTGCCCAACGATGCCCGAGTTGGATGTTCTCAATCTTGATCCCCTGAAGGAACTTCTACTCAATGATCCTCGCCATGACAGGCTGAAAATCTAGGTAAAGAATATTGTGCAAGGGAAACCGTTACGCGTATTATAATTTGTTTCTCTTCGTGAAAAACGTCTGTTGCTTCTGTTGTTGAAAGTATTTGTCCGTATGCAGCAGGTAATAAATGTTCATCGCCAGTGAATATGGATTGCCAATGATAGAACCGCCACGGAAAAATAATCGCATTCTGTAGTTGAAAACATGGTAATTTACAATGTTGTTATTGTGCTACAGGTATATAATTTAGTTACCGTGGAAATAATTGGGTTGCCTTAGTTTCGAAGTTCAGAGCGTACACACGCTCTCTCTCTTCCTTTCCCCCCTATATATATATATATATATATATATATATATATATAGATAGATAGATAGATAGAGAGAGAGAGAGAGAGAGAGACAAAGAGAGACAGACAGACAGACAGAAAGAGAGACAGACAAATTACACATCGCTGTCCTTTCTTACGGGGGCAAAAAAATTAAATTCTTGCACTTTGCAATCATTACACTTTCTTATTGCACATAGGTTTCTTTCAACTAATTACCTTTGATTAGTTTAACCTCTGTTCGACGAAATAAAATTTTGAAAGTTATGGCCGTCAGTGAATTATTATTATTATTATTATTATTATTATTATTATTATTATTATCTCCTTTGATTTCTATTGTATACACATTTTCTTCAGGGACCCAAACAGAGACCTAAGATCAGAGCCTTTTCCACTGATCATTTGTTTAAAAAAATAACATCACACACAGTTTACATATATAAAGCTCTTCGTAGTATGTGAGCTTTACTTGTGTGTACAATCTTTGGCATTTCTTTAAGGATGGACTACCAGGAATCCCTTCAATGAGTAAATTAGAACCTTTTATAATAATAATAATAATAATTATTATTATTATTATTATTATTACTATTATTATTGTTGTTGTTGTTGTTTTTGTGTGTGTGGTATCATCTTTCCAGAGCTGTTCTGGGTATGACGGGAAGCTATATCCAACATCAAGGAGGTTTTGTGGAGCGTGGAACTACCTCTTGCTGGTATTCCCAGTTTCATCCTGACCCGGGAAGCTAGCACCTGTTAGGGTTCCAGCTATAGGCAAATAGCTAACCCCTAAACTGGTATCAAATCACTATGAAAATGTAAAAATAGGTTTTAATATAAGCAAGAGATTTTTGAAAAAAATACCAGCAATACATTTTTTAAGGAAACACAATTAGTAGCAAACCATTTGTAGGCATTAAATAATCTATTGAGGTTGCTATTCTGTAAAACAAACCAAATCAAACTAAACATCATTCCAGAGAGTAATTTTAGTTGTCTAATTACTGTGACGGTTACACACCTGGCCCAGGGTCGAATCCTTTGGTTACGGCGCCAACGGTGACGTCGCTCCTCCTGGTCGCTCCTCCTGGGTCCAAGCGTGCCGCTCCAACCCCTTGGTCAGATGATCACCAGCCTCGCCTTTCCCGACTCGCTTCCAATACCTGGTCACTAAAGCAACTGTACCGATCTCCGGTCTGTCTACCCACGCTGTGTTTAGATCTTAGACAGACGGGACCAGCAGGGATTGGGGCCGATACAAGTTGAGTCCGACGGGGGTGGCAAAACACAAATAAAAGAAAATAAACTCACGAGACAAAAAAGATTGCTGATGAAAAAAAATGGGTAACAACCTTTTATATCTTAATGTCCGTTACATAAAAACAAAATTGTTCTCATTTCCCAACCCGCTCTGTGGACTATGGCACAAGCTTCTATCACACAACCTAAAGATTTCGAATTGCCTACTCTTTAGAATTGTGTATGTCGGAGTGTGGTTTGGTTCGACACTGGGGCTAATTTCTATCGATCATTCGCAGTTGATTCTTCTCTTCGACTTGAGTTGTATTTCTTCTTCTTCGTCGACTTAGGCTGGAAGTTCTCTTGTCTTCGACTTGGGTTGTATTTCTTCTTCTTCGTCGACTTAGGCTGGAAGTTCTCTTGTCTTCGACTTGGGTTGTATTTCTTCTTCTTCGTCGACTTAGGCTGGAAGTTCTCTTGTCTTCGACTTGGGTTGTATTTCTTCTTCTTCGTCGACTTAGGCTGGAAGTTCTCTTGTCTTCGACTTGGGCTGGAAGGATCTCTTGCCGCAACTCAGCCGCAACTCTCTGTCGTCCGAGGTGATCTCTTCTCGCTGCCGTCCGGGGCTGAACTGATTTTTGTCGATTGGGGCCCTGCTTTTATTGACGCCGCAGCAACCCGGGGTGGGTCTGTCGGCGTCAGGGTTTTCTCGAT